GGCAGAGGGGCCGGCAGAGGGGCCGGCAGAGGGGCTGGGTTTAGGAGGCTTGGGCCTGGGAGCAGAGGACTAGAAGGTGCTCTTGAACTAAGGACACCCCAGGCAGCAGCTAGGGCTGAGCGCTTTTCTGGCATGCTGCCTTCCCAGCTCGTGGGCGCTCAGCCTTCCCAGGCCTTCCTGCTCGTCTGCCCTGTGTTCCGTACAAAAAGTTCAAGCGCAAAGCTGAGCCGGGAAAGGTTCTGGCCTCCGTCCTCTGCTAACTGGCCACTCCCTGTAGAAGCGTGGAGGACTACGGGTTGAGATGCAGATGGGGGGTGGCCCTGTCAGGTCATGAGGTGATCCGTCGTCCCAGGCAGGAAAGGCAGCTCCCAAACTAAGAGAACTCTTCCTTTAGCATGGGAAATGTCAGGTTCTGAAGTTTCCCATGCTGGCTCTGGCCTCTGTATGCATAACTAACTGTATTTCAAGTACATCCAGGGTATAAAGTGACCCAGCCTGCTGCTCTCTGCCAGGGACCAGCCCCACAGACAAGCTGCTGTGCTGGCTGCTGCCACACAGAGGGGGTCACCCCAGTGGCAGACCTCTGTAGGCCTGGGGACAGAACGCTTAGCCACTAGTCACTTACTTTCTACATAAAGAAACGGCATGTAGCTATTCGCGCAAATAAAGCGCACGGAATGCTTCCTTCCTTCGCTTCTTTAAGATGTTACCAGTGGCTGTTTTCAGTTTTTGAAGCCATATGCTTTGCATATAAATGTTTTGACTACTTCTAGAAGATTCTTAAGTGGTCACTATGCCTCGCTTGTAAGAGAGACCCTGCTTCTGTGCTTTTAGGGACTTGGGTGTGGTGAAAACGCAGCGGACTGTGTGGAAGGCGTGCAGTTATTAACCAGGCAGCTGAGGCATCCGTTGGTTAATTCTTTCTCTAGAACGTAAGAAGTTAGGAAAAGAATGCAAACTTCCAGAAACAACAGTGTCCACGAAGGGGGCTCATTTGGGGGCACCTTACCCAAGTGAACAGCCTAGAGAGAGGCCTTCAAGTGTTGAACTGGGCCGGCCTGGGCCTGTGAGGTCAAAGTTCAAGCAGTGCTGTCCCGGAAGCCAGGTCTTCATCACACTCAGCTTTCACAGATCAGTATTCAGACAGGAGCGGAGCATTTCACTTTACTCCCAGCCATTGTCTTTGATCATGTGGGCAAGTTCAATAATAAATTTTCCTTCTTTGTACTTCTGACTGCTCTCAAAGGCATGCTCCTTGAGGGGAAAGTAGAGAGGAGGATTCAGGACACACTCTGTCTATTCTACGCTTGGAAAACATTAGAGTTTGTAGCATTACCTCTACTCAGACGTTCTCTGAGCTGTGCACTGACCCAGGCCCAGAAGGATCAAGACAGGGGGATTTTGAATGGCTCATTACACTCAAATCTGTTTCCGGGCCTGGGGATGTAGCTCAGTGCGTGCTGTTTGGTATGCCCGTGGCTCTGGCTCCGTCCTCAGCACCACAAACACACTGTTCACTAGGCATTGATTGTATGTGGCTATTTCAGGAGGCGTGAAGGAGAGTACTGGGAACAGGTGAGGCTGGGTTGTGTGCGTGTAGGCCAGAGGTTGATGTGTTTATTGACCTGTGCATAGCATGGGTGTGGTCAGAGAGCAGCAGTTTGGCGTCTCTCCTTCCGTCACGGGTTCTGTGATGACTCAGGTCATCAGGTCTGTGCAGCAAATGCGTGCACCTGCCCAGCCGCCCTGCTCGCCCCGTATCTGACTGACTGACTATATGTATGGCTGTACCCCTGGATGGCCTTTGCATTGTGCACATGCAGTTCCTGTGGAGGCCAGAAGAGGGCGATGGATCCCTGGGAACTTTGTGAGCTGTCTGCCCCACGTGGGTGCTGGGAATTGAACATGGGCTCTCTGGAAGAGCAGCCAGTGTTCTTAGCTGCTGAGCCCTGTGTCTCCAGGCCTCTCGTGGCTTTAGTTTTTTGAAATAAGAACTTTTGTTGAGCCTGGGGCTCACTAATTCAGCTAGGCTGGCTCCTGTTTGTCTCCTCACCACTGGGGCTATGGCCATAGGCTGCCCACTTGCCTTTTACAAGTGTGACACTGATCTGAACTTGTCCTCATCTTCAGAGCCCAAGAGCAGGCCCGTCTGATGTTTATTATGTATACAGGGTTCTGCCTGAATGTTTCCCTGCAGTCTACAAGAGGGCACCAGACCTCATTACAGATGGTTGTGAGCCACCATGTGGTTGCTGGGAATTGAACTCAGGACCTCTGGAAGAGCAGTCAGTGCCCTTAACCTCTGAGCCCTCTCTCCAGCCCTCCCTTAGCATCTTACAGCGTGTGGCTTGCTGAAGTGCTGGAGACAGGGCTGGGACGCACCCAGCCGGTGGACAATGTGACCAGCAGGCTCTCTACAAGGCAGGACAAAAGAGGGACTTGGAGACACAGGCCAACCAGGTGAGGGGCCTCCCAGAGCCTGATGCTTTGTGGGCTTGTATCTGGTTCCTTCCAGTTCATGAGGAGTTTGGAAGACTCAAGAATTCAAGGACAGAGGCCACCATGACCTGTGAGAATCCGGAAGTCAAAGGGCGGCACGAGGGCCGGGGGCAGCGGCACCGCCTTTAATCCCAGCACTCGGGAGGCAGGCGGATCTCTGTGAGTTCCGAGTCTAGCCTGGGCTACAGAGTGAGTTCTAGGACAGGCGCAAAGCTACACAGAGAAACCCTGTCTCGAAAACAAAAACAACAAAAACAACAGCAGAAAGGCTGGGAACAAGGCAGCACAAGGCTGGGAACATGTGCAGTGGGCAGATGCTTTCCACACAAGCATGAGGACTGACTCCACGTGAGAGCAGGTCAGATGTGGGAGCTGCCCGGATCCCAGAGCTTGGGAGGCACAGAGGCTGGAGACAGGCAGGTGGTAACCCCCACTCCAGGCCTGAGAAAGCAGGGGCTTGGGAGGAGAACGCGGGGGCCGCCACGGTCCTGTGCTCCACAGTGGCACATGGTTGTGCCCCAAGGAACCACTGGGAGCTTGCACTCTGTTTTGAGACAGGATCCAGGGACTGATTCATGTGCCTCCACCTCCTTAGTGCCTGCTGCCCGTTTTCTGTTGTTGGTGTGTGTGTGTGCGTGTGCATGTGTGTGTGTGTGCATGTGTGTGTGTGTGTGCATGCGCATGTGTGTGTGTGTGCATGCATGTGTGTGTGCATGTGTGTGTATGTGTGTGTGCATGCATGTGTGTGTGCATGTGTGTGTATGTGTGTGCGTGTGTGTGTGTGCATGCATGTGTGTGCATGTGTGTGTACGTGTGTGTGCGCGCGTGTGCGTGTGCATGTGTGT